GACGCTCTCTGCTTGGATCCTGCGTTTCTGACCCTGTCGCCCTCATTCCTCTGGATTGCAAATGGTATTTCCCTAATCAGTCCTGCACACGCTGTGCCTCTGGAAGAAGACGAGAGCCTCTGCTCTTCGGCTGTGCAAACCACCGAGGTACGGGCACAGCATCCTCAGCTGTGCCCCCCGCTCTTGGTAGAAGCAATACTAACCTGCCTCAGAGGGGCTGCAGGCGCTCAGCAAATGCTGTCCGGGAGGGACTTTGCGGGTAGAAAATGCAATACCAGAGCAGTTTCTCAGCAATATGTCCTGGAATAGAGAGTCCTCCCCTTCCCAGCACTCACCTTTCCCCTTTGCTGGTAAACCCAGCCTCTCCCGCCCCCACACTCCTGTTCCTGTATAGGACAGTGGGTGCAAGGCTTCCAGGGCCATGGAAAAAAACCCACCCATTCCCTGGCCACTGCTTCACCCAGCTATTTTTCCTGTTCAAGCAGGAATTTATCTTCTCAATACAAAGCCATGAGAGTCCGTGCCAAAGCCCAGTCCTCGGCACAGCTGCCGTATACTTCACTCCTGGGGCTGCTTTCCACTCTCCGAGCAGTCCCTGCTTTGACCTGAAACTGCTGGGCTGCTACCCCAATTGCCAAGTGGAAGAAGCAAAACTTGAGGCCGTTTCATTCCCCCTCCTCCCTCACCCTAAATCCTGTAGCTAAATATAATCCCTAATGGCCCTTTTCTCCCCGATGGTGCCTATCCTTTAAGCCTCTGCCAAATTCACCCCCCCTCTCCCAGAGAGGCACTATTGCTCCTTGGAGGAGCCCCCCTTAATTGCCAAATCCTTCTTCATTTGCCCCTTACCTGGGGTTGTTCGTGTCTGCGTTGGAGCTGGCACCTGCTTCAGCCCAGCCGATAGCTCTGCGTGGGGCAAACAGCGTCTCTTGCCCAGCCCACCCCTCCCACCCGCCGGCAGCGACCTTCGGCACCACCCCGTTTGAGAATTTGGCAGGCAAATATTGACCGACAGCATCCGGTTAAACATTTGTTTGGGGGCTGACAGTGAATTTGTGGTGCATTTGGAGATGGGGAGACACTTGGGGCTGCTGTACCCTCCAGACAATGTTAACACTGAGTTTACCAGCTCTGAAACTCCCATAAGCAGAAGTAACACGCAAAGTCAGTTGTCCCTAGTAGTGGCTCTGCTTTCCCTATACTCCCTGTGCTGGGAATGCACTCTCTTATTCATAACCTTTAATGAAAATGTAGGACTTGGTATTTATTGCCACAGGGCTTGCTCCGTTTCTGGAATTTTCTTTGCAGAAAACCCCAGATATTTACTCCCTGTATCCCAGCTGCTTCTGCTGCAGCAAGCGCGAGGCACCGGTTTTGACAGATGCCAAGGCCCCGTGGCCCGCGCCCCGGAGCCGGAGCCAGTGATGCTCCGGCTGGGCTGAGCCAAGAGCAGCTGGTACCTCCCCCGGGGCACGGCACGCACCGGAGCTCTGCCGGGGGAGTTGGCCCCAGTGCCGGGCTCCATGGCACGCACGCACTGCTGTGGCACGGACAAAGAGTCTCAGGGACGGGCAGAACTCCAGCGGTCCTGTCCTGGGTGGTTTTGTGCCGTATGCAGAAGCGATGGTGGTCCTTCCCGGCTCAGTCCATGTCCTCAGTGCGAGAGGAGTCACCGAGGAGCAGTGGGGAACGCCAACGGGATCGCAGCGCTTGCAGTCATCCATTCCTTGCAGCAGCTCTTGGTTCCCAAACTCACTCACCCCAGACACTGGGACGGAGTGGAAAGGGGACAGGTCTTTGGGACGTGCCGCTGCAACATAGGGAGCTACCTCCCCTTGGCAAGCAGACCCAGGTCCCTGTGCAGCACAGTCCTACCTTACCTCCAGGGCATTTCGCAGCATCCCTCCTCTAGCTCACCCAGGAACACAAGAGGTGCCCAGACGCAGAGCTTTAGCTTTGGCTGCCAGAGCAGGAGAGCTGCAGCCAGCACCCCCCGCCCCGCCCCCCCCCCGGGGCCCCCC